CTTCACGTGTGTGTTGCAGGGCGCCTCCGACCACTGCGCCACCCGCCCCCTTGCCGAAATGGCCGAATAAAATCTCATATCAACCTGGTGCAAGCTCAAAAATATAAACAACTATTAAATTAAGGACTGTTCACCAAAGCGCAATTACAATCACCACCCAAACAGTTTGAGGAGACTTTAGTCACGATATTTATGTTAAACAAGAAGTCACGCTAATTTCAAGTGCTCCGGAAAATTTGAAAATATTCATAGACACAGCAGCTCTTGACCGAAGACATCTCGGTCATGTCTATCATCTGAACTTCCATTTATGGCTTCTTTTTAACCATTTTAGGTTGCAAACTGTTCAGCCTTTGGTAATTTATTTGTTATTTATTAACCTACTGTATGAACCGGTATCACATGTATCACAATGTGTGGATGCCAGCTCTTGCTGCATTCGATTTGTTTCAAAAGCATGTACCATCTACGAAAGTCTTCGACCTTTTTCGCGCAAGAATTTTATTATGGCGTTACAGAGTAATCTGCACGTCATTTAAAAGTTTTTAACGCTTATAACACTTTTTCTTCAATTGGCAAGCTTCAACAAGAATTTATTAGCTTAAAGTTAAACCACTAAACCATTTTCGACCATGTCTACACTGAAATCTATACGTATGGTGGAAGATGTATCAGATTATTCCGATATTTTGTTACAGCGCTTTATTTGTTAGACAAAGCAAAAGTTTAGCCAGGATTTTTAAAAGCAACGTTCACCTCAGAGGGAAGCTCTTTCGCGTGGCGTTCAGTTCAGCCTAGTTCAGTCTAGCTTGAGAGAGAATAAAGAGGTTTCATCGAAAATCCTCCATTCGCAATGCAGTGCCTGGCTGTGCGCTCCAATGGAAAGAATGAAAGAAGTGTTACATCAGCGGAAGAGTATTTGCTCAACACCTGAAACGCATTATAGATAAGGACGTACCCGAATTTCGTCCATTAAACTTCTATCTGATTGGGATGAAAAATTTCCAAGCTGAACGGATATCCCTTCAGCAAAATCAAAAACGAACGAAGGCTGGACATTTTGTTTTTAGTGCTAGAAAAAGTCGGCTATGCTGAACAAGAAGTTAAAACCAAGCGAAGGCGATTAAAAAAGCCCTGTTTTCTAGTTACTGTAAATGCGAAATTTTAAGGAACAAAGAACGCGACGGCTCGATCTTGCTTCAATCTTCACGAACATCGCTTTTGTGAGATTTAGTCGAGGACCAATCTTTCCACAGGCTTCATCAAAGTCGGCAAGCATATATTCCGCTTAGGTAATGTTTGGTATTATAAAGACAATGTCATTAGCAAAGCGAAGACGAAGTAACTGCCCACCATCAATTTTCACTTCCATATTATCCCATTCCAACGTTCGCATGACGTTCTGGAATGTGACGGTAAATAATTTTGGCGAGATGGTATTGCCTTGCCTAACTCCTCCTTTATCGTCAATGTTAATATCGTTGTAGAATGGTGATATCTTCGTTGTGAAATTTTTGTACAGATCACGAAGGATCTTTATGTACTGAGTGGGGACTTCTTCACTATCAAGGGCTTCCAAGACTGCTTCTATCTCAACTGAATCAAAGACCTTCTGTGAATCGATGAAAGCGAGACAGAGCGGTCTTTTGTACTCTAGCGATACTTCAATAAGTCTTGTTATCGTGTGTATGTGACCCATCGTGCTAAATCCTTTTCGAAACCCTGCTTGCTCGCATGGCTGTCCTTCGTCCAGTGTTCTGTCAATCCTGTTTAGGACGACTCGAGTGAAAAGTTTGTAGACGACAGACAGCAAGCAGATTGGGCGACAGTTACTGACATCGTGTAGGTCACCCTTCTTGAACAATAACACGGTCTTGGCGGTCCCGTTTTCAGAGAGGTAACGTGCGAAGAGTCGAGCCAGTGTATTTACGAGAACTGGCAAAAGGTTCTTCAGGTGTTTTGTTCTTTTCCTATCCGGACCTGGTTTTGTTCGATTTTTCACCGATGAAATAACATCTCGGATTTTGGAAGGAAGAACCAGTGGTACAACACATCCATCCTCCTTTATTTCTTATGAGGGCAGTGCAGCGCGGCTTTCGAAGAGATCTGAGTAGTATTTGTGAATGATCTTCTCTATTGCCTTTCTGGACGCTGTAACTTTTCGTCTAGGTGTCGGAGTGCAATTATCTTGGTTTTGTAATTGGAAAATCTTCGGTGGGCTTTTGCGAATGTTTTTCCCAGCCTCTGCAGCTTTGACCATTACTGCCGCTCTTCTCTCTTCAAGATCTTCTTTTATCGCCTGAATGCATTGTTTTGCAAGTTCGGACGTCAGTTCGCGGTTGCCTGCAGCTCGTGCGATTCAACGCTGGCGTATCAGCTGGATGTTTTTGGAGAGAGACGTCCCTTGGTGAATTTCGAACTCTCAGCTTTCATAGCGCTAACGTGAAGATGTTGAGTGAGCCGATCGTATTCTTCGTCGATGCTGTAGACAACGGCATCTTCCTAACAACCGACTGATGAAGTGAATAAGCCCCAGTTAACAGTGGTTCTGGGACTTCTGCTTTTGGATTTAACGGCTTTTTCTCCTTTCCGCGAAAAGTAGAATCTTGTGCAAAGGAGACGATAGTCTGATCCTTTGTAGAATTTTGAGACAACAGCGACATCGGTTAGGCAATCCCTTCTATTTACTATGATGTGGTCTATTTCGTTATGGCACTCTTCACAGGGAGATTCCCATGTCCAGCGCTGAGCGTGAGGCTTCTGGAATTGCGAGTTACCATGGATTGTTTTGGTCGCCATGATAATCTCAGATAGCCGCTCACCCTGTTCTATTCATTTTAATCCGTGGGTCCCAATGTGGCGTTCTTCAGACGTCTTTCTTGGCCCAATCTTGGCGTTGAAATCTCCAATGATGACTTTGAAAAATGTATGGTCTTCTCTGTAGAACTTCTCCAAGTCCATGTAGAACGCTTTGACTTCTTCTTCGTTATAGTTTGATGTCAGCGCCTAAACCACGAAGATTGTCAAAGCGGGTACTAATCCACATCTTTTTAATCGTAAGCGTCCGATTCGGGTTGTAAGCCGTTCAAATGAATAGATGTTCATGGACCAACAAATATTGACGAAACGCCGACGCCGCCGACACCACTATTGTCGCTTGTTCCGAGGAACAGTTCTTCTACGGTGTCATATACGGCGTTGAATGGGTAGCGCCGTCTTATCTCGGCCAGGCCAATGATGTCGTACTTTATCCTTCTTGCCTGCATGAGCAAGTCTTCTATCGAGGACTCGGATGCAAGTGTACATGCATTGTAGGTACAGATCGTCACCATAGTTCTTTGTAATCCAGGTAACTTCCATTGGCCCTGAGATTTTAGTAGCCTTTCCGTATTCGTCTTACTCACTCAGCGTTGCGAAATTGGGAGCTCTTCCGGGGTCAGGGGAATGAGGCCCATTTTTTTTACTGTGTTTAGCATTTTGATACCGACGTATAGCTTGTTAGGTTCTGAACGTGGGCGCTGGGTATACTCACGGGGAGCTTGCCAGACTGTGGCAGAGTGGACATGGAGCTTATTGGTTGGAGGCGACTCCTAACCACATCCCATATACTTCCCTGTCACTTGATTGCAGGTCTCTGGCCGAATTGACTCATAGAATACAATCCGCATAAGCGAAAACGCACCCACACAAGCATGCATGAATGTGCCTTGCATATACAGAAACTGTGGACCAAATCGGCGCAGCAGAAACAGGATGTCCATCCCTTGGATCCACTTGCTTCTTAGGGAAGCAAAGGTCGCTTTCGGTCTGCTATTAACCCCTACCCGCCACGTGGCGACGCCCTATGTAGACTGGCGAGTAACCGCCTCGAGATCCCTCATATGAGGAAGATCCGTGGATCACAATATATCGAAGAAAAACAGTGAATTATCAATCAGTGCCGAGGATAATGGAAAGACAGTCTTCGGGATGACTATTGCTTCACGCAAAATTTCGTTAGTGACAGAATTAGAAGATAACTGTTAAATATGGAATCGAGTAACCGTTCATGTTTTTTTGTTTATAATCAACATGATAACACATTAACTACAAGAGATGCATCAGTGAAGCATTACCTCTTATTTTCGCTTCACAACCTGAAAAGAACAAACTGGCATACAATCTATTCAGCCAAACGCTTTAGTAACCCATGCAAAAGAAAAGTGAGCCCATAACTTTTTTATGTAACAAACAGGTTTTTTTTAAATACCCACTGTTTTACTCGTTGTAAGTCTCCTTGTTATTGTAGGAGGTTTGCAGCACAGGATCATACATGATGAGGAATGTGATTCTCCTGCGATAAAATACCAATTTGAAATATTATGCGAGGTCATGTGCGACGACCAGGCATTCCTTTCTTCCGTTTTTTTGGATTCCCAGAATTCATACAAAATGCCTCGAGAGTGCAATACCACGGATCTCCCTCGTAGAGCGACTTCATGCCAGTTAGCAGAGAAGCAACGTGGAGAGTTCTCAGGTGGCGCGAAGCGGTTTAATCGTGTACCAAAATCGACCATTGCTTCCCTGACACAAACATGGATCTATGGAATGGATTTCCCGTTTCTACTGCAACGATTTGAAACATATCTTCTGTATTTAGGAGGACGTATTCATGCATGCGTGAAAGGGTGTGTTCTCATTTAGGCGAATTGCATTCCACAAGAAAATTCGGTCACCTGGGAGTGATGGAGAGCTTCCCGTGAGTATACCTAGCGGCAATGTTAAGAACTCAATAAAGTATACATGGGAATCAAAAACCTAAGCACATTAAAAGAAACGGGACTCATTCCGTTGACCACGAAAGAGCACCCGATTCGGCAGCTTTGAGTACGGCGAGTACGGAGAGGCTGCTAAAATCCCACGGCCATTCTAGGCTGCCTATTTCGCAAAAGACTAAGGTGAGTATCCGTACCAACAATGCATACACACTTGCATGTAAGTTTTCCATAGAAGACTTGAACATGCAGGCGAAAAGGACAAAGCGCGACATTGTCAGGCTAGCAGAGACGACAAGACGCCACCCATTCAACGCCGTCTATGACACCGGAATAGAACTGTTCCTCGGAACACACGACGGCAGAGGAGACGGCGGTGCTGGATTTCTAGTCGACAAGAGTTTAGCCAAGAACACCGATCTATTCAAACAAGTAACAAACCTAATTGGACGTTTACGGTTTGAGAGATATGGACCATTACCGGCCTTGAAAATAGTTATGGTTTACGCAATTACATCAAGCTATGACGAAGAAGAAGTGGAAAGGTTCTATATGGATTTGGAGGTGTTCTACAGAGAAGACCGTACATTCTTCATGGTCATCATTAGAGATTTTAACGCTAAGACCGAACCACTGAACCCAGAAGAAGGTTTTAAGAACGCCACATTGGAACCCATAGATTACAATGGAAGGAAAAGGGTGAGTGGTTGCCTAAGTTCATGAGTTCGTCATAACGACATAGACCGTTCATGGTAACTCACAATTTCATATGCCTCACCCTCAACGCTAGACGTGGAAGTCTCCCAATGGAGAATACAACGAAGTAGACCACTCCATGTAAAACGATGGTTTTTGCCTAACCGATTGTCCCAAAATCACAATAAACTAGGACTTATTTTGCGACTATAATCAGCTGTTCTAAACTTCCTCATTGGAAGTCACGAAAAAGCGGTGGGTTTTTCGAGAAGCTGCTGACCATGTAAATACCAAAGAGTTTTCCGTCTTTTTGTAAGTGTCATTGAAGCGTTTGGCCTAGTAGATTGTATATCAGTATACCCTTCCAAGCTCTGAAGAAGGCGATACTGCCGAAACGTCAGCTAGCGTTGTATTGCATTGTGTTTTTCTATGGAAGTAAATGCATGCTGTTTAAAAACCTCGCGATTGCTGAACAAGAAAACGACACATTCATATTCCAATACCGAGGTTAATAGAAAGTCGATCCTGGGACTTATTTTGCTCAAAAGTTGGCAGATGGAAAGATGCCGTTCTTGATAATAACGACGAAGAATGCGGTAAACTCATTTAAAATATTCAGCTATAAAACCTGAGAGTTGGAAGTAGACCAAGAAACGTTTTTCTCTAGAAGCACAAGAGTTGATGCGAAAAAGCGAAGTCGCGCGAATTACGAACAACCGCAAATTCATGTCCAAATTTTCAAAGCAATGAAGATCAATGAAGTAATGCAATGAGAGCAATGAAGAGGCGATGAAAGAAGATCTTGAATAGAGAAGAGCAGTAGTTATGGTTAAAGCTGCAGATGCTGGAAGAAGCATTTGCAAAGCCCATCGAAAGTTCGCCAATTAAGAAACCAAGATGATTGCACTCCAACTCCGAGACGGAACAGTTACAACGTCCAGAAAGGCAATGGAGAAAATCATTCACGACTACTATCAAATCTCTTCAATAGTCACGTTGCACTGCCCTCATATGAAATAGAGGAGGATGGATTTGTCGTACCACTGGTTCTCTCTTCCGAAATCCGAGATGTTATTTCGTCGGTAACGTTTCACTGGAGTCATCCTAAACAGGATTGACAGAGCACTGGACGAAGAAGAACCATGTGAGCAAACAGGACTTCGCAAAGGATTCAGTGCGATGGACCACATCCACACGATAACAATATTCATCGATGTATCGTGAGAGAACATGAGACCACTATCTCTCTGTTTTATCGATTTAAAGAAGGCTTTTGATACACTTGGGACAGAAGCAGTTACGGAAGCCCTGGACAGCCATGTAGACCCAACTTAATACATAAAGGTTCCTCGTGAGGTGTCTAAAAACTACACTCACCATTCTACAACGTTGTTAACGTCAACGTAAAAAGAAAGCATGCGCAGGAGGATACCATCTTTACAAAATTATTTACGACCACCTTCTAGAGCGCCATAGGAGTACTGAAATGGAATAGCACGAGAGTGAAAATCTGTGGTCGGCAATCACTCCATCTTGGCTCTGCTGGTGGCATCATTTTTATAACACCAAAAATTAGCCAAACGGAAGCAGTGCTCGCCGACTTTGAGAAACACTTGGAAAGATTGGTCCTTCGAAGAAATTCAACAAAAGCAATGCTCATGAGGAAAGAATAGATTACGTATGTCCCATTCACATTCGGCGGAATGAATTTATCCGAATGGTCCTTTACGCCTACCTGGAATGGGAATTCGACATGATGAACGACCTATTCTTAAGTTAAGCAGGTAAAGTGAGGGGCTTGGAGAACTTTCAAGAGCACCGAGGATGTAGTGAGGAGAACAAAGAACATCCGACTTTGTGCCCACCTTGTTGACTCAATGCTACTTCCTGCGTTAATGCATGCGCCAGAAACCTGGCCAATGCCTAGGCAGGATGCAAGATCGCCCAACGTTATTGAATGTGCAGTCGAAAAAACTATGCTATGGGTATCCCGTGTCACTCAAGTAAGGGAAGGGATCTGAAGCTCCGACCTGCGTCAACGATCAAAAATCAACGATGCCGTTTTGTAAGCCAAACAGTCGAAGATAGGGTGGGCAGGGCATGTAATGCGTATGAATTACAACCGATGGACAAGAGCCGTTAGTGACCGGATTCCTCGGGATGTCAAACGCACTGCAGGGAGACCACCGACCCGATTGTCAGAGTTCTTCACGAAAACCTCGGAAGAAAGGTATGATGCTTAGCAGTCCGTCGAGCGAGCAGAACTCACTGGGTTACTCCTGCACGTGATGGAAGAAGAGAGACTTACCGGCGTCTGCTCTTGTGACTCGGCGATCAACGTGACACTCAATTTTTGCATTCTTAAGTAAGGATGATGCCTTATACATGAAAATATTCTCTTCCACGTCTCCACTTCCCACTCTAACCAGTGGCGTGTATTGATCGATTTTAAGCTCCCAAACTAGGTACTCTTTCACACGGAAGTCGAATTGTCTACTCGTTTCACCTACACATTCGCCCCACACGCTTAACAAAAGATTAGGTGCACTGTAACGGAACTCTGAATAACATTCTCTACCGTTACGCAATTGCGAATTGTACACAAACTGTCATGCAAACAGCTACGAACTAGCTGGCCCCTTAGAGTGTTCGGCGGTGTTCTTGTCACTGCTACTGAATTTACTAGACTGGCCCTCTTTAAGTAACGTTTTATAGGTGTGATTAAATAATGGGCAAAATAAATGAGGCTTTGTTCCCGCTAGACTTATGGTGTGGAGGAGATTTTTTCTTCTAGCCTATCACGAACAGCTGCCTTTTTGGATCCATTAAAAATGACTATTAACTGTGCCAAGTCCATGTTTTTCTCCTTTTCCTCTTCGCAAGCACACACTGTTGACCATTCGAATCATATTTCTCAGAAGCGTCCTTTTTGTGCATGAAGGGTAAAGTAGAAACAGTGCATCAGTACGCTTTTTCTAAATGAAAAACTTCGCGGACATCCTTTTCCTATTCACGACAAAAATTTAAGGCTTTTTTGAAAAGATTGAAGCGCACAACTGTTTGAGAGTTTGCATAAGAGCTCAACAGCATTTCGGCGGTTCTGGAGCACATAACAAATTGGAAGGCCCAAAAGAGTCGACAAGCAAGTGTATCATCAATTAAATGAGAATCTCTTAATAACTCGAAAAACCGACTTTCTATCGGCCTCGGCGTAGATAGTTGATATATTTATTTATGTGATCTTATAAACTGATCTTCTTAAGCTAACGCGAGGTTGGTACAGGTCTTCATTGTCGTTGTCGTTGGCGTTGTTGCTGTTGTTGGTCGATAGCTGACGTTTCGGCGACTTCGCCTTCCTCAGAGCCGTGATGTTACGTGCGGGACTCCGTAGCAACCTCGAGTCAGCTTAAGAAGATCAGTTTATAAGATCACATAAATAAATAAATGAGAATCAAAGAAGCAGAGAAATTGCCATTTTGAGCTGTCGTTAAAGGTTTTTCTCTACATCCTCAATAACCTGTTCCTTGAGCATATTTTTGACGTATAGCGAGAAATGGGTCCTCTTTGATGACCAGCGACGATCAGCTGAAGGTTGGACCGCTATAAACTTCCCTAAAACCAAAATTGGGGAAAGCAGTGCTTATGTGCACCACGTAGCAGTTCCTTTAATCTATCACATCTTCTGGATCCTGGTGAAACGACAATTTCTAAGAGACAGCAGTTGTGCATCGAACTTCTCATCAGAAAGACACGAATTGTTCAATATGATACGCTGTGACCATAGCTCGCATTACAGACGCCGCCAAAGTTGTACGAACGGGGTTACAAAACTCTGTCTTGACCAACACATGCGCCAGACCTCTCGCCTACCGAATACCACTTCTTCAAACACGCGAACAACTTCATGTAGGAGGAATGCTTCAGAAATCAAGTCGACGCACAACTGCCGTAAACGAATTCATCGCATTCAGAAGTCTGGAGTTTTAAGCAACCAATGTAAACAAACTTGATTCCTGCTTACAAAAAATGTTAGATTCTAAAAATTTTGGTTCTGATTGATAAAATTTATCTTGAGCTGGTATTTTTCACCTTAGAAATACGGATTAGAATCCGGCACTAATTTCTGGAAGGACCAATACTTCAGTGTAAAGTTACCTACCGAATACCCCACACTAAGTTTACATTCATAAACTATTTTCTAGTATATTGAAGAAAGTCTGCTTTTCAATATGTTATTTGGGATGTTCACAGGGTTGTCACATTTTATTTAACGCAACGCATGAAAAAATAAGGAGATGAAGCCGATAGTATCTCCATGACAACCCTACAACTTTCATATAAATAAGTATATGTATATATAATATATGCATGCAAATTGGAGGATTGCACACGGATACCTAGATTTGGACGCCCTGTCCTCTCTGGTTGTGTGGGCCTCAGCATATTCTCCAGGTGGACTCATTAAGGCATTATAATGGTAGTTATGTGTGCACATTTGGGCCTACAAGCGGACTTGCGGAGCCCCTCTCGAAGTGCACCAACTCAATGTTTTTTCTTATCGCAGAGACGACTGTTACCAGTTTGCTACACATATATACATATATATATATATATATACATATATATATATGTGGGAAAATGGTTAACCAATGCAACGTTCTTCAGCCCTTCTTCTGAGTCCGATCTTAGAATTAAAATCTTCAGTGGTGACCTTGACGAATGTATGATCTTCTCTGTAGAACTGTAACACTCTGTGCGGCTCGTCTTCGTTAAATAACTGGAGGGCTTGCAAAGAACAAAACGTCGAGTATTTAAAAAGCGGTGCTTCCTGAAATTAAGAAGGCGAGTTTTTCCTGCAAAGATTATGAAACGGCTGAGCCGAACACCTATCAATATGGCCTTTCCAGGCTCTGGAAAAGGCGAAATTGCAGAAATGAATCCCAATATTGAATAAATCTTCTTATTAACAACCATTTATCTGCTCAAAAAGAAAACGCTGGCTTACTGTACGATGCCAAGGTTAACAG